CAATAACTCTTTAGAAGACAGAAAGCAGGCAAAGGAATAGTTACTGATAACCCAAGTCTTTAGCTGAGAAGGAGAGCCATAATGCTCCACAGACCATCAGCCTGAGGGGAGAAATTCAAGAATGGAGTCATGGATTGGAAACACATATTCAAAAGCTGCAACTCTGTGGATCAGCACCATTCTGAGGGCAAGAATGCAGAGGGGCCAGGTCAGTTGGACCCAGACCAGAACTTCCCCAGAGGACAGCTTTTCTTGTCTCATTGGCCAGAGCTGCAGAACACAACCATAAAACCATTTCAAGCTGCAAAAAAAATGCTGGAAAAATTAGAATTTGGTTGGACATCTTGCCATTCTAAATAGTACCTGGGATTTGGAAAAAGTGGAAAATTAGTTCAGCAACCAACTACAAAAAGATAATAACCACTTATGGGCTTTCACATTTTAGAATCCACCCACAGACAAAGCTTGAGACAGTTATAAAAGAACATATTGTAAATGCAAGCAATGTGCCAAATTAGGATATATATGTAATAGAAACTGAGAAGTTTAAAGAAATGGAGAAGAGAACCTAATCTTGTCCCCTTAGAAAGGGGAGCATCAAAGGTAATATCTGTACTGCTTGAACAGCCAACCAAAAATGTATAATTTTCTTTTTTGTTTGTTTTTGAGACAGGGTTTCTTCATGTAGCCCTGGCTGTCCTGGAACTTGCTCTGTAGACCAGGTTGGTCTTGAACTCACAGGGATCTGCCTGCCTTTGCCTCCCAAGTGCTAGGATTAAAAGTGTGCACCACCATCTTCCAGCTATAATTTTCTTTTCTTTTTTTTTTTTTTGTTTTTCGAGACAGAGTTTCTCTGTATCTCTTTGGAGGTTGTCCTGGCACTTGCTCTGTAGACCAGGATGGCCTCGGACTCACAGAGATTCACCTGCTCCTGCCTCCCGAGTGCTGGGATTAAAGACATTCGCCACCAACACCTGGCTTATAATTTTCTTTATTGTAACTACATATCTTTGATTTATTTAATTTAAAAAACCAGAAAATTCAGTCCAGGTGACCCAGCTATCTTGTTCTCCACTTCAGCCGAGAACCAGAGGCTGGTATCAAGGGTCAATAACCCTGAACCTGGGGGTATTATTTTTCTTATTCGTAAGTGGTTTCACTTGCCTGGTCTTTTGAAGTTACAGTCAAAGCACCTCTAGGCAATTTGGCCTTTTAAAAATTGTAAGCATGATGGAAGGGCATAGACCTATCTATGAACAGCAAAACTAATTTTGAAAGAGAAGAAAATAAGAAATATCAGTCTAACCATTTTTAAAGTTTATTATATAGTTTCAATAAAGTCTTATTTATAAACTAGGTATAAAAGCACATACCTGTAATCCTAGCACATGGGAGGCTGGAATAGGAAGATAAGCCTGAGGGCAGCCTGGAATACAAAGTGAGCTTTCGACAATCCCTGTTGTGTTGTCTTCTTGAACTCCGAATTCTGTGTTACTATTTTAACTAACTCCTCGAGTGTAAGACTTATAAATTGTTTTACTGCAAATGGTTTCTAAACATTTTTGCCTTCAAATATTGATCAAGAAGTAAAGACAAGAATTTAATTTTAATCAGCTAGGCCTGGTGGTACACGTCTTTAATCTCAATTCTCAGGAGGCTGAGATAAGGAGGGCTGCCAAGAGTTTGAAGTCTGCCTAGACTATACAGTGAGACTATATTTAAAAAAATAAAACAGAACAAAGGACAAAAACTGCCAGGCACGGTAGGATTAAAAGTAGGCTTTTAATGCCAGCACCTGGAGGCAGAGTCAGGCAGATTTCTTTTGAGTTTGAGGCTATCCTGTCTACAAAGTGAGTTCCAGGCCAGCAAAGGCTACATAGTAAGAGCATATCTTTAAAAAATCCAACAAGGAGAAATAGTTTAATTTAATGAATGATGTTTCACACACAATCTCAACACTGGTCTAATGGCTATCCAGGAACTAAGAGCCACGTATTTGGAAATACAGTCTGGTGATCTAGATGGAATGCTACTTGTGTTTCCTGTTTTATTTCAGTGGAAGAGGCCTGTGAATGTGTCCAGAGTGCACTGGGCAGATAAAGCAAATCAGCAAAGGACCTTGAAACATGTGGCCTTTGGATTTATATATGTATTTAGTGCCTGAGAAACAAAGCTCTAGTTAATGTATGATTTTAAGACAATACCTGCCAGAAAATCTCATTCTTGGGCCTTCCTGTGTCCCCAGTTCTTATCATTTATAGTTAAATAGTTCTAATCTCTGTACTTCACTGGGGAATTGTTGGTTTCATGGCTTTTCTAGTTTTTTGTTGTTGTTTTATTCCCCCTCACAAAGTGAAACAGGTATGTTCATGTGAAGGGTGGGTACTTTGTGGACATATGACAGGTCCAGCCAGGGGGCTACACAAGGCTGGCAGGTAGTGTTAAGGAGCTCCCAGGCTCTTCTGTATTTAGGTTCACTCATCTCCTTGGACTGGGCATTTTAAGTTCTCCATGCAGAAGCAGTTGGCAGAGAGCCTAACAGTAGGCTGAACAAATGTTTGTTCATTCCTATGCTCACTAGTTCAGTCATTTGTTCTGAAGCCAATTAGTTTAAATGAGAAAGTCAACTATAGTTGACCCTGCTCTACGCACCCACACTACCCCTGCCTCCACCCCTGCCAAGTTATTTTTATCTTTTTTTTTTTAAATTTCAACTTCCTTTGAGAAACTGTCTCTGCCCTTTGAACTGTGCTGCAGATGTTTCCTCTGAAGGAGGTAAAGGGAGGGGGCTGTGAAGCACTGCAGAGTGTCCAGAGTTGCTGAAACCTGCATTTTGTAGAATCCAGGATATAAGGGACAAACAGGACTTCAGGCAAAATAGAACAGCCTATGAAGAAGACACCAAAGTTCCATGCCATACATTCCATGTACAATAGCAGAAAGCAAGTCAGTCAGTAGGAAGCATAGTCAGTGAGTCTGCTTCTGATTACCATTCTACCAAAGAAAGAGCTCCTTTTTTGGTCTGGTTGTCTCATTTTAGAAGGGGATATTTCCATTCAAGGTCTGTGTTTTAAAATGTACAATAGAAAATAAAATGTCATTTTCAAAGTATTTAGTCTTTGCCCCAGCTTTCTCAATACCTAATATGGTCTGTTAGTTTTCTTCCTTCCCTATCCTTCACTTCCAGGATATTTATGACTTTATTTTTCAAAACTGGGAAGACTTAGATACCTTACAGATAGCAATCTGGTTTTATTGTGGCCACAGAGGCCTAAGTAGATTAGAGTTTTACCACATAAGTTCTGCTCTTTGCTCTTTATTTGCTCACCTTAAAGAAGACAGTGAACTAGAACATAAGGGACAGATGTTTCTTTCAGCAGTCATGATATTTGGGGGCCTGATAATTCCTTGCTGTAAAATACTAAATCCATCTAGTTGTGACAATAAAAATGTACTGAAGTCTGGCTTGTTGGCCCACCACTCTGGAGACTGAGGCAGGAGAATTGCCAGGAGTTGAAGGCCAGTCAAGCCAATAAATATAGTGAGTTACAAGCTAGCCTAAACTACAGTGTGAGACCTTGTCTCAAAACAACAAACAAAAAGCAAAATGTCTTCCTACTTGCCAGCAAGAGAGATAACATTTGCTAACATTTAATTGGTGCACAGGTTCTTCACCTAGGCAATGAACTGTCAGGGTTACTAAAAGAGGACTGTGGTCTGGAGCATATAAAGGCAAGATTAAATAACCATACTTCCAAACTATCTCGGAGAGGGGAAATGACACCAGAAGTGAGGAAAAGGAAACAAAGCTCCAGAATTGGGTAATGAGAATACAATGGTCATAGCATGGAATTTTTTTCTTACCAATTCTTCACTTTATTTTTTTCTAACAAAAAAGTGATCAAAACACATAACAGGTTTTTGCTCAAGGTACCATTCCTGCAAGGCTTTTCGGACTTATTTTTCTCAGTTTCACCTAGTATCATCTTTGAACATTTTGGTTAAGTAATGTATGTTGTTTAATAGCTGTACCTGTTTGTTACAAAGTCATCTTTGCTGTATCACAAGCAGCTCCACAATCTCCCAGAAGGGACTAAAGAGTAGAGGAATTATGATAAGTAGGTGGTTCAGCATTATAACCTACTGAATTTGGTGGAGACATGCTACATGGAATATAATAATAACCTCTCTGGGGGCCTCTCTGACACCGGAGATTAATAGCTATCTACTGTTTAGCACTGGAATATGAAGGCTACCCTAATTTACAACGTAGCACAAGAGGACCTGCTGAAATGATATACAGAAGGACACTGAATGAGCTTTTTAAGAGCACAAAGTTGGCTTTCACAATGTCTGTGAAACTGAACACAAATGCTCAACAACCAGGCAGATCTTCTCTTGGATGTGTTTCTTAAAGTCTTTATTTTTCTTCTTAAAACCTTTCTGTGACTCGACTTCCACCCATGAGCAAGTTTTCTTTGACCTCAGTAAGCATTTGGTCCTGGCCAGCCTTTGG